CGGGCCTGCTCAACACCCCTCCCCTAGACCTGCTGGAACTGATGATGCTGCAGAACGCGCAGATGCACCAGCTGCTTCTGAGTGGCCAGGTGGCAGCGGTGCTCAACCAGGGGCTTGCCTGGTCCGGCCCGCAGGTGCGTGGGCTGGAGGTGGGGGAGTGGGGGTGGGCTACCAGGGCTGCCCACCAGCAGGGCCAGAGGTGGGCATCCATTTAGGGTTCCCCCCACCTTAAGAAAAAGGATCAGGCAATGGGGGAGCCAGAAGCCAGCCCTCATCTATCTGGCTAGGTCTGTTTGGCATCCGTTATGCGCCAGGCCCCTGTGTCAGCCTCCATGGAGTGGAGGTAGTGGGTCCCAAAATCCAGACCACTCAGGTCTTGTTTTCAAGGTTTCCCTGCAGTGAATTACCCATTGGACTGCAGACCCAGGAGGGCAGGCACCATTGTACCCTGGGCCTGCAGTGTGCCTGATACTCATTAGGGGTTCAATTGCTATTTGTTGAACAAGTGAATGAATAAATGAATGACTATGAATACAAGGCAACTTTGGCTGTGACTGGCACAAAGTGTGAGGGCCACCTGGTTGGGGCATGAGGAACATCTCCTTGGAGGAGCAAGTGGCCTTAGAACCAGCCCTTGAAAGCCAGGTAGGATTCTGATGTTTGGAGGAGGTGAGGGGTGTGTCCGCCATCTAGGTGGGCAGGGGCAGAATCAGGAGACAGAATGGAAGAAACCCTGTGTATACGTGGAGGGGGGTGGAGGGGGGAGGTGATAGGTGCATGGGAGGGCAGGAGCTCCAAGGCTGAGCCTTATTCAGCCAGCAGTGGGCAGCCTGAGAGGTCTGGAGGCGTGACAGCCGGGTGGTGGCAGGATGCCTGTCAGCTTGGAGGGAGCGGACAGAGATTCACAGAGGGGCCGGTCAGAGGAGTCGAGGCAGAGGGAGACCCTGCGGAGCTGCTGCCAACCCTTCACCCCCAGGCCCTCAGGGGGCCCTTGGGAGGAGCGCCCTACCTCAACAAGTGGGGCACAAGTGGGTCCAGGGACTGGGGCTTGAGACAGGCTGGGACCTGGGAACCTTTGCTGCGGTGCTGCAGTGCTTGCACCTGGACAAACGTCTCTTCGAGCCGCAGAATACAAAGGAAATGAGACTAAAAATAATGGCACGCGTGCGCAGGTGGGGCAATTATGAACAATAAGATACAAAAAGGCCACAAATCAGCTGCCCTTTCTGAGGTGCAAAAGTAGGGTACTGAGCATGATTCCTGCACACAGCACCGCCAAGAGGGTGGGCGGACCACCTAAGCCTCCCCTCCAGCCCAACCCACCCATCAGTCCCTCCCCTTTCCCCATTTAAGGAACCAGCCCACTCTCCTTGGGGAGCGAGCAGGGGCACCTGTTTCTTGTTCTCACTCCCTCCTGCAGCACGAGTCCTAGTGAATTCCCAGCCTGAATTCCTTGGCTGGCTTCTTATCAATTTCTATTGATTAAAAGAGTCCAAGAACCCTGTATCCGTAACCCTGTATCCTGAGGCCAGGGGCAGCTTGCTGGACTCCTGGCCCCAGCTCTGGAGTCATACCTGGATTCCTCCAGTCCCTGCTTGGCCTTATTAGCTGGGTGACCTTAGAAAAGTTACTTAACCTCCAAGCCTCAGTTTCTCCCATCCGCAAAATAAGGAATAAATGTCTCCAAAGAGCCTTGCTTGTGTGTAGTAAATGCCCAATAAACAGTAGCTATTTTGTGCTGGGTATCTGGAGAAATAATTTAGAGGAATGGAGGGGTGGCGGCAGCGAGAGCCTGATCCTGTATCATCTCCCCTCCCCTCTTGCACAATCCCCAGGTCTACCTGGAGGGTCAACAGGAGGTGGTGTATGAAGAGGAGGAGACGGAAGCCCAGGAGGAGGGGCCTTTGGTGTTCCACCACCACTACCTGCCCTGCCTGATGCCTGCTCTGGGCCCCCTGCTCTCCTGGCCGGCCCCTCTCCTTTCCCCTCCCCTACCTCAGCCCTGCTTGCAGCACTTGGCCAGGGTTCAGCACTACCCTTCTACCTCTGGGAAAAGGGGGGCGTAAGTGAGGCCGGGGGTCTGGGTGCTGCCTGGGCCCTGCTCTGGGGCTGGGCTGGAAGAGCTGGCCAGGGGCCAGGCTGGAGTGGGGAAACTTGTGGGTGAAATTCCAGAGGCTAGCCTGGGGCCTCTGACGGGGCTCTTTCTTTTCTCTCCCCGTCCCAGGAGAGCCGTGCCCCCGCCTCCACCCCCCAGCGCCACAGGGACTGTGGGTGTGGATGTACCCCCAGGTTCAGGTAGGGACCAGGTGGGTGGGCAGTGGGACCCGGCCTGGCAGTGGATCAGAAGGCCAGGAAGGCCATGCGCCCTGTGGGGCTGAGGGCCCCTACTGTCATGGCCGCAGACAACCGGCCTATCCCCTTCCGGTTTGCTCCTTGGGCTGCACTGAGGCAGGAGGGAGTCACGATGAGGGTGCTGTCTTCCCCCAGGCTACTATGATGCCGAGAGCCTACCGTGAGGACAGACATCAGCCCCAGGACCCATGCCAGCTTCATTGCAGAGCTGGAAATAGCCCTGGAGCCCCTGTGTGCCCCGCTAGTGCTTTTCTAACCCTGAACCTATGCCCGGTAGCCCTTCTTACCCCCTCAGCCCCAACTAGGCCCTCTCCCCGAGGTCAGTCAGTCCCCTCTCTACCCCACGGAGACCTTGAACCAGCCTGATCTCTGCTTCAGGGTGAGAGCCCCTTAGAGCAGTGTCCAGGCCCTGGCGGTCACATGAAAGCCCAACCCTGTCCCAGTGATTGCTGCCTGGGGTGGCAGAGGCCTGGGAACCAGAGCCCCCCCTCGACCTCCACTCCCCCACCCACCACCCTGGGATGGCCAGTGCTGCGGCGTCTCGGGTTGGCCCAATAACCGAGCAGGAGGTAAGAGGCGAGGACTGCTTTTGTTGTCCGTGGCTCTCTGCAGGCCCAGAGTGATGGGGGAGGCCTGGCTGAGGAGATCCTGAAGCTGAGCCCTTGGGGCCCCCATGCTTACCCCTGGAAGCTGGCTCTGTTGACAGAAAGGAAAGGTCAGAGCCATGCCCTGCTCTGACACGGAGGGCCTGCGGTCCCAGAGGGCCATGTGGGAACAGAGTGTCTCTCTGCCCCTCTGGGCCACGGTGCATCTCCCCACCCACCCTCAGTAGGAATGAGTTGCTCAGTGTCCGGTGAGGGTGGGGGTCTGGTGCCTGGGCTGGTCAGCATGGGGGTGCCCCAGGGCCTGGGCTCCCCGGGGCTCTGGAAGGCCCCCGTGAAGGAGAGGGTGAAGGGAGGCTGAGGGGACATTTGGAGACCAAAGTCCAGCTGGGCCTGGTGGCTCCCCTTCCTGACCATTCCCAGGAGACACTGAGGCACAGGGTTAAGTCCAGGTGTTTGTATTCAGACTAGGAAAGGGAGGGTCCCTGACGTCCTCTGCTGCTTGTCGTGGTCCTTCAGCCAGGGCTGAACCACAGCCCTAAGGAGCCACGCTGAGTCCCAGTGGCTGCTGTGCTGGTGGCCATGCCGCTCATGTAGGCTATGCCCGGTAGGCCCACCTCAGCCTCCTCCAAGCAGCTTGCACCCCGTAGGTACCTGTCCGCCTCTGGTGCCACTGCTGCCCAAAGACAAAGCACAGCAGGACAGATGTCACAAACAAGAAGAGTAGCACTGACACGACCGTGATGATGGCCACCACCTGGTTGTCTCGTGCGGGCTCTGGGGAGGGAGAGGGCAGTGGTCTTAGAAGTCCTCTGGCCCCAGGTGCCAGGGCCAGAGGGGGAGTAGAGGTCCATCCATCACCCACCCACCCCTCGTCATTCTGCAGTCACCCTGTGTTGCAGAGGTGAGTGGCAACTGGTATATCAACTAGAGGAAAGGGGGGCCGGGGTCCAGGCCACCAGCTGGGCCTCTGTGAGACCGTGAGGGCAGATGTCCCCCTGCCGCCAGCTCCTGGCACCAGCACATGGTCGCTGGACACCGCAGCCTGGACAGTGGTGTGGTCCAGGCCGAGCCCCTCCTTGGGCAGGGCTGAGGGAGCTTCTACCAAACTCTCAGAAGACAGAGAACATCTAGGTCATCTAGGGTCACAGAACAGCAGGGCTCCAGGGGATCTTAAGAGTCAGTCAGGCTACACTTGTCACTGCAGAGAGGGGCCAAGGCCAGAGAGAGGAGATAGACTTGGTTAAGGTCACCCAGCTTGTTAATGGCCAAGCAGCTAGCTGGGGTCCAAGCTGGCAACTTGGAGAGAGCTCCAGGGAACTCCTGGGATCAAGTTCCTGGGTGCCTCCCCCTGAGCTGGCAGAGAGTGGGGCAGAGGCGTTTTCCTCCCACGAGGGGCTGAAAGTGAACGCCCTCTCCTTCCCTCCTCCTCCGGGGGCTCCCCCTCACCATAGACGTTGAGCGCCTGGGGATCTGAGACGCTGTGAACGAGGTCCCCGCCGCGAGAGCGCAGGTCCATCTCGGCCCGGCAGGAGAAGTTGTGGCGGCCGTCTTCCCTGTGAGCCGTGGTGTTGTGGGTGACCATGGCCTCCTGGGGGGAAAGTGTTGTCCCCACAAAGGTCTGGCTGTATACGATCTCACTGCCATGGAGCAGGGTGACAGTGAGACCTTCGAGGGGTGCCACAGAGGGCACCCTGCACTGGATGGTGAACGATCTCCCTACAGCCACTAAAGTGGGCCATAACTTCAGCAGCACTTGCTTTGGGGGGTCTGAAGGAAAGAAGGAAGCGAGGTCTGGTCAGGATGGGGGTGCAGTTCCAGCAGGCTCCACCCAGCCAGGACCATTCCCGTCACCACGGTGTTCTCAGGAAGTGGGCTGGGGCCTGGCTGCTCTAAAGTGTAAGAAGAGGAAGGAGGAAGCAGATCAGGGTGAAGGATGTACTGGGTGGTTGTTTTCTGGACACGATTTCTGGAATGGACAAGAATGGAGGTAGCCTGGTGTCTACAAAGAAAAGTCCAGAATCTGTACAGTCAACTAGAAAGATATCAAAGTTTTGGATCTGTCTCCTTCCTCTCCAAAAATTAAATACAAATTTCAAAAATTAAATGGTTGGATAATTATGTTGAGAGAGACTTAGAAGGGAGTACTCATTGGAACTGGACCATGAGTTGTGAAATTCTTCACTTCAGAGGTGGAGGCCGGAGTCAGACCTGCCTTGCTTCTTCAGGATCGGGTTCTGAGCTACCTCTAGCCCTTAGCTATTAAACTCGGTGGTACCCTGGGTTCCTTTTTGAACTAGAATGCCTTGCCCCCATTACCCCAGGATAATATGTTAGATTTAGGACATCTTTCTATTCATCTGATCCACTGATGACAGTTTCGAGTGATACCCTTGGTGCCAAGCTGTTGAGAGAATCCCAGTCTATCCAAGGTCTCCATGGCCTCTGGGCAGGTATGTGTGTGATGGTCACACGCTTGCCAAGGGCCCTCAGGGGGAGATAAAACCACGCCTCAGCCTTCTCTCCCGGGAGGCCGGTGGGCTACTGCAGAGTGTACCAGCCCTCCTGATGGGGCCCCCACTGCTTGTCATGGGGTGCAGGGTGTTCTGGTGATGGGGTGCTACCAAGCTAGGAGGAGGCTGTAGCACGGCATGGGAAACAACTTTTAGATTTGTCTAAACCTTGCTTGGATCGCCCTCCTCGGAGCAAACCTCAAAACCAGGGTTGCCAACAGGCTCAAGGAGGCCAGGGGAGGGTATGGGAAGACTCTGAGCCCATGGACTGGGTCCAGGAGCCCCGGGAAGTGGGGGCCATAACAAGAGCACCCAGCAGCAGTAACAGAGCAGCTCTGCGTGCATTCGGTAGACACAGGCTCTGGCCTAGGGGAGCAGGGCCCCGCGGTGCCGCACTCACAGAACACACTGATGTTCAGACTCTTGGACTCCTGCTTCCCGGAGCAGGTGAAATGGCAAATGACATCTGTGTCCTGGGAGATGTTGAAGACCTCATACAGCTTCCACTGAGCCTGTTCCTCCAGGAGAGTCTTGTGTAGGGTGGTCTCCAGACCACTGGTGTTGGGCTGCATACAGGTGGTACTACAGTTAATCACCTGAGACTCCCCGGACTCCACCATCAGCTGCTCTGGCCACATGCGTACCTCGAACGCCTCCTCGCCAGACCCTGGAAGACCAGAAACACTAGGCAGCAGAAGTCCCTGCTGCCCTGCCCAGTGGAGCTGCCCACGGCGGGCAATCTGATAAGGGGTAGATGTCCCCTCTGCTCCTCTCCCCTTGTCCAGACCTTATCGCCTTGGGTCTAGACCAAAGAGACTGTGACCCCCCTGCAGCTGTCTCCCTGCCTCTGGTTCCTCCAGCTCGTCGCCTCCAGATTAGTCTTTCTCATGCACGTCTTCTATCTCCATGGAGAGGGATCTTATTCGACCTACAAGGCCCAGCCCAAATGTCCCCTCCTTCACAAAGGCCTCTCTGAAATGGAGGTGGACTGTGTCCTCTGAGCCCCCGTGGCCATGGGTTCGACTCTTCCCTCCCTCCCTTCCTCTCTTCTGCAAATCCTTTTTGAACACCGGCTGTGTGCCAGGCACTGTTCTAGGCTCTGGGGATCCAGCAGGGACCAAAGCAGACCAAACCCTGCCCTTGCGGCGCTCACATTGCAGCGAAGGAGACAGACAATAATAAACAAGTGAACTAGCCAGCTTGTCAGTTGGTGGTAAATGCCTAGGAAAGGAAATAGGGAGTGGGGTGGGTTTGCCGTGTTAAATAGTGTAGTCAAGCACAGGCCTCACGGAAACACCGACATTTGAGCAAAGAATGAAGGAGGTCGGGGCGGGGGTGGGGGAGCCCAGCAGGCAGGTATCTGCGGGGGGAGGGAACCGCCAGCGCAGAGACCCTGGGTGGGGAGGAGACCAGATGGCTGGAGCTCAGCGAGGAGGAAGGAGGGGGAGGCGAGGTCAGGAAGGTAATGGGACCACCTTGCAAATGACTCATATTCATGCTGACTCTCCCTTGGACATTTTGGAGCTTCTAGAAGGCAAGGCCCAGATTTCGCATATTTCCCTTTGTGCTCAGCACAATACCCTGTGTGTGGCGCAGAGCCAAGAAGGGTTTCAGGCACGAAGTATTTCAGGCCTTCGGTGCTCACCTCCCACTCGGTGAAGACCAGAAGGTCCTTGATCCCAGCCAGCTGGGCCTGTCCTGTGTCCCGTGCTCCTGCCACACCCATGGACCCCCACTTAGCCCTCAGCTAGTGGCATATAATGAAGGGGCAAAAGAGGGGCTTTGCAGGGAGAGAGAGCTGGATTTGAAACCTGAGTTTGCCAGGTACCAGCTGTGTGGCCTTGGGCAAAGTGCTTTCTCTCTCTGAGCCCCAGTTTCTCCATCTGTCAAATGGGCTAGTAATCCCTTTCCTGCAGGGTTGTCGTGAAAGCACCTGGCAGGTTGTCCAAAACAGAGTGTGCAGCACACGGAGGCATTTTCCTTCACGGTCCCCTGGACCTCCTGGGAGGGGCTTCGTTTTCGCTTTCATGGTCGCCACAAGGCGATGCCCTCTGCTGCCCTCTGCTGACCCCTGGGCCACCTCTGAAGACTAGCTGGGGCGTACCCTCACCTGCCCTTGAACCCCAGCCTCCCTTCACCTCTCCATTTAGTCTCCACAGCCTGCCACATCCACACACCATGAAGTTATGGGGTCTGGTTCCCAAAAGGCCAGGACCCCTACCCACTGCCTGGGGTCATGGGGAAGCCAGGCTGGCACAGCATCCTGTACCCATGGCGGACGGCCTCTGTGTTCAAAGCCTCAGCAACTTCAGGACCAGGACCCCCTTTCCTGCCTGAAGGGTAGGGAGTCCTGGCTGGCATGCACCCCGTCAGGAACCCCAGGCTCACCTGTGCAGCAGAGCAGGGCGAGAAAGGCCAAGAGCAGTCCCCAGCCACCAAAAGGGGACATCTCGAGTGGCGTCCGCGGGCTCACAGGGAACAGCCGAGAACCGCCTGGAGAGAGATGGAGGGCGCAGGTCAGGGAGTGGTGGCCTGGAGCCGCAGCCGGAACCCCCAGCCTTCTGTGAGCTGGTGACCACATTTCCTCTCGTTATCTGAGTGGTCTCGGGGAGGCCACGTGGAAGGCCGGCTCCCAGGGTCCCAGGTCTATAAGAAGCCAGGCAGAGGAAGCTGGGAAGCAGCTGATAAGCCAGGCAGATGGGGGGGGGGGGGGGCCGGGGGCACACGTGTGTGTGAGTGATGTGTGTGCACACGGGATTCCCGTGCACTGTGTGTACACACAGGACAGCACTGCCTACAAGCCTCAGACCTGGGGAGCCCCAAATCCCACAGGACACACTGTGGGAGTCCCCTCTGGGTAGGGATTTTCCAAGTTGGAAATAGGGTTTAGGAGGCAATAGCTGGATGTTTACCTCCTTCCTCTGCCCCCTCCCCTCCCCTGCTCTTAGATTTCTGGTGATACACACCGTCCCTGGGCACTTTCTTCTCTTTTTTTTCTCAGCTAAACGTGATTTCAGATTACTAAGAGAAGAAGGAAGGAAAAGGAAACTAGCATTTAATTGACACCTATTCTTTTCTAGGGACTAAGTTAAGGTTTTAATACATTATCTCATTTAATTATCACACCAACTGTGTGTTGGAATTTATCCATTTCTTCTAGGTTGTCCATTGTATTGGTTTATAATTGTTCACAGTAATCTTTTATGACAACTCTCAGAATGGGAGAAAATATTTGCAAATGAAACAACAGACAAAGGATTAATCTCCAAAATATACAAACAGCTCATGGAGCTCAATATCAAAAGCACAGACAATCCAGTTAAAAAATGGGCAGAAGACCTAAATAGACATTTCACTAAGGAAGACATACAGATGGCCAAGAGGCACATGAAAAGATGCTCTACATGACTAATTATTAGAGCAATGCAAATCAAAACTACAATGAGGTATCACCTCACGCCGGTCAGAATGGCCATTATCAAAAAAGCTAGAAACAATAAATACTGGAAAGGGTGGGGTGAAAAGGGGACCCTCCTACACTGTTGGTGGGAATGTAAATTGATACAACCACTATGGAAAACAGTATGGAGGTTCCTTAAAAAACTTAAAATAGAACTACCATATGACCCAGCAATCCCACTGCTGGGTATATACCCTGAGAAAACCATAATTCAGAAAGAGACAGGCACCACAGTGATCATTGCAGCACTATTTACAATAGCCAGGACGTGGAATCAACCTAGATATCCATCAACAGATGAATGGATAAAGAAGATGTGGTACATATATACAATGGAATATTACTCAGCCATAAAAAGAAACGAAATTGAGTTATTTGTAGTGAGGTGGATGGACCTAGAGTCTGTCATACAGAGTGAAGTAAGTCAGAAGGAGAAAAACAAATAGCCTATGGTAACGCATACATATGGAATCTAAAAAAATGGTACTGATGAACCTAGTTGCAGGGCAGGAATAAAGAGGTAGACATAGAGAATGGACTTGATGACATGGGGTGGGAGGGTGAAGCTGGGGTGAAGTGAGAGTAGCATCGACATATATACGCTACCGAATATAAAATAGTTGGATGCTGGGAAGCAGCAGCATAGCACAAGGAGATCAGCTTGGTGCTCTGCGACCACCTGGAGGGGTGGGATAGGGAGGATGGGAGGGAGGCTCAAGAGGAAGGGGACATGTGTATGTATATGGCTGATTCACTTCGTTGTGCAACAGAAACTAACACGGTATTGTGAAGCAATTATACTCCAATAAAGATCTATTTAAAACATTTAAAAATTCAAAAATAAAATAAAAAACAAAACAAATAAAACCAAACAAAAAACAGGCTCATAGATACAGAGAACAAATGGGTGGTTACCAGAGAGAAAGGGGTGGAGAGGGGTACAAAATAGGTGAATGGGATTAAGAGGTACAAAACTCCAGCTATAAAATGAGCCACAGGGATATAACACACAGTATAAGGAATATGGCCAATAATATTGTAATAACTCCATATGAGGACAGATGATTAACAGACTTACCGTGGTGATTATTTCATAATGTATGCAAATGCCAAACCACTACGTAGAACACCTGAAGCTTACATAATATTGTACATTATACTTCAATTTAAAAAATTAAAATAATGTTATCTTATAATTCAAAAAAGAAGACTATACAAACTCATAGAAACAGGGCTTCCCTGGTGGCGCAGTGGTTGAGAGTCCGCCTGCCAATGCAGGGGACACGGGTTTGTGCCCCGGTCCGGGAAGATCCCACATACCGCGGAGCGGCTGGGCCCGTGAGCCATGGCCGCTGAGCCTGGGCGTCCGGAGCCTGTGCTCCGCAACAGGAGAGGCCCCCGTACCACAAAAAAAAAAAAAAAAAAAAAAATTCATAGAAACAAAGTAAAACAGTGGTTGTCAGGGCCTGGGGGCAGGAGGAAATGGTGAGTTGTTTGTTTAATGGGTATAGAGTTTCAGTTTTGCAAGATAAAAAGTTTTCGAGATTTGTTGCAAAACAGTGTAAATGTAACACAACCAACTTTAAAACAGTACATTTAAAACCAGTTAAATGGTGAATTTTGTTATGTGTATTTTACCATAATTGAAAATTTTATTAATACAACATTATAAATCAATATACTTCAATAAAGTTAAAAATTAAAAAGACTATAAATCATTTATGTCAAGAAATATGAAACAAAGTGGACCAAATCTTAGAAAAAATAGAACTTACCTAACTTGATTTAAGAAGAAATAAAAAGTCTGAATGGTTCTACAACTATTAAAGAAATTAAATCCATGCCACAGCTAGAGAGAAGCCCGCACACCACAAAGGAGAGCCCGCGAGCCACAACGAAAGATCCCACGTGCCGCAACACATGCCGCAACACATGCCGCAACTAAGACCCGATGCAGCCAAATAAATTATTTTTTAAAAAAAGATGAAATCTTGCCATTTGTGACAACGTGGATGGACCTTGAGGGCATTATGCTAAGTGAAATAAGTCAGATGGAAAAAGACAAATACCATAGGATTTCATTCATATGTAGAATATTAAAAACAAACTAAAAAAAAATTAAATCCATAATTTGAAATCTTCCCACAAAGGAAATACCAAGTCTAGATAGTGTTCCAGAAGTTTAAGTAGAGATAATTCTAATTTTATAAAAACTCTTTCTGAGAATGCAAATCGCAGGAACACACTCTAACTCTATGAGGCCAGTGTAACCTTAATACCAAAATGAGACAAGAATAGGATGAGAAAGGAAAATTAGAAGCCAGTCTCACTCGTGAATATAAATGCAACAGTAAGAAAAATACAAACAAACCAAATCTAGCAGTATAATAAAAATACTAGACATCATATCGGGCTTATCTCAGCTATGCAAAGGTGGTCTAACAACAGAAGAGAAATCTACATGTCATTTATTATTGTTGGTAATAGTAAACTTTGGTGCTCTATGTCACATTACTTCTGCCCTCCTCTGACATCCACTGTATTTACAGCACATAATTTCCTGCACGCTTAGACTCACCTTATGCTCCAGTGTCTCACCTCAAGCTTATATCATGTTGCTTTTTGCGTTTTGCCGCAGGGTCTTCTTCAATGGCTTTAGGAGTCACTTATCTGCCTGCTAGTGTTTCCCAGAAGCATAGGAGAGTTAAGTTCTCTAAGATGAAACCCTTTCATCCCTAAGATGGAACAGGAGCTGGTGGATACATGCTCCAGTCTCCTTCTTTTGGGGAAGGCAATTCTGGGCAGCATCCTGTAGACTTACCAGAGGTCCCCACAGACTTGAACTTCCTTTGCCTACAGCTGCAACTGCAATTATGCATCGTTAATTGGCTTTTTCTCCTTCCCTGTTTCAGTCTCTTTGCTCCTTCGCTCCCTGCTTCCTGGCATCACCTCTCAAATAATCTACCCGAACTGAAGTCCTTGTTCCAGGCTCTATTTTTGAAGGAGCCCAAACTAAAAACTTACATTAATAGATTTAAGAAGAAAAAAAACTATGATCATCTTAATAGATCTAGAAAAAAAAATGATGATATTCAACATCTTTCATGATAAAAGCTCTTAGCAAACTAGAAGGAAACTTCCTGGATGGCCTGGGCCCACGTGGCCCATGGCAGGGAGGCAGCCCCATACCTCTAAGTTGGTTGTGTGGTTGACAGAGCAGGGGAGGGAAGAGAAAGGACAAAAACAGGAAACAACCGCGAAAACAATAGGCTGACAATGGACCGAGAGAGACGCAGACGTGAGCTCTGCAGAGCAGGGAGCGTCTGGCCGCAGGGAACTCTGTGCGTCTCCAGCTCCTGGGCTTGAGGGAGGCTGGGGAGGGGTGGGGAGGCCCAGGGAGGGGAAAGGACAAGAACTCAAGTCTTGATTGACAGTCCATCCCAAGCCCTTTCCACTCTGCCACGAGGGAAACGAGGAGGAGCAAGGAATGTGAACTTACCTGTCATCTGCTAAAGGGCGTGGCTGCGATGGGGAAGGAGGGTGGCCAGGGGTCCAGCTTCCAGATGCCGCTTGTGGCAGGGCTGCCACCCGTTCAGCAAGTAAAATCAGGCTTTGGCCCAAACCCCCTCTCAGGAGTCACGTGCTTCCTGTCCCAGCTGTGACTCCAGACTAATCTCACTTTCAGTCCATTACCTCTTGTTTTAAACTCTGTTAGAATATACACCCTGTAAAATTGACCATTTTAACCATCTTTAGTGTCCAGCTCTGTGGCATTAAGTCCACTCACACTGCTGTGCAGCTATCAGCACCACCACCCCTCTCCAGAACCGCAGTCCCTCACCATTATCCCAAACTGAAACCCCTCTCTTTTCAGCACTGACTCCCCCTCCCCCCAGCCCCTGGCAGCCACTGTTCTACTTTCTGTTTCTCAGCTGGACTGCTCTAGGGACCTCACATGAGTAGAATCACACGGTAGGTACTTGTCTTTTTGTGACTGGCTTATTTCACTGGGCATGATGTCC